CCTCTCATTTACAAATATAATCTGTGAGTCTGCCCAATGGAGCCACAGACAGCATTAAAAACTTGACAGAGGGTCTACCCTTACCCAATCTATCCAAAACTAAAAAAAGGATTTTGCTTAGAGATACCCATTGAGCTAAATTGTCTAGTTGTGGAAGGGTCAGTGCTCTCCTATCCAGAACAAAGTGTGGTGGAAACATTAAATTTTAACTCCCTGAAGTAACTCGATGTAATTACACTGAAAACAATCACTGTTTCTATTTAATAAAAAAAAGAGCTCAAAGTATGTAGAGTGTCATAAGCTAGTGACAATGATACAGTTCTTTTTTTAACTGCGTGTTCACTGTTCCAGAAAATCACTTCTAATTCAATGCTTTCCTTAGAGCCAGGTTCTAAGGTAAAATATAGATTTCTGCCATTTCATTATTTTCTATGCCTTCTATTTAGTCAGATCATATTAATATTTTTGTCATGTCTAAACTAGCAAAAAAAAAGGACAAAGAAAGTTTAATTGCTAAAATTGAAGGATCTAGTTATAAACAATTCATAGGGCAATTTTCCCCCTTGAATCTCGGTGAACATTCGTTCTGGGCAAATAGAGGCAAAAACAAATGTTCTTAGTATATTTTCTTTTCAGGTTGAATGTAACATTAGGAAAATAACAAATTATAGCCACTAGATGGCGATCAGGAGCATACGAAATAGCTTTTTTTTTTATTTGGATCAAAAACAATTTGGACTTCGGCTGATAATGGTTTCAACACAGAGGAAGTGAAGGTAAGAGCCCATTCACATCAGCACCGTTGTTTTGGCTTTACATACATTACAAGGTGCATATTTATACAGCAGTGAATGTGCCTTACACCAAACACTCATATGTGCTGAATCAGTCATTTAAACCACATGTACCTGGAAGAATTCCAGATTCACAGCTTCATAGATATAATGCTAAGTGTACAGAGCAGTTTCAGGGTTGTCATCCCTCAATTAATGTACAGAGCAGTTTCAGGGCTATCATCCCTCAATTAACGTACAGAGCAGTTTCAGGGCTATCATCCCTCAATTAACGTACAGAGCAGTTTCAGGGCTATCATCCCTCAATTAACGTACAGAGCAGTTTCAGGGCTATCATCCCTCAATTAACGTACAGAGCAGTTTCAGGGCTATCATCCCTCAATTAACGTACAGAGCAGTTTCAGGGCTATCATCCCTCAATTAACGTACAGAGCAGTTTCAGGGCTATCATCCCTCAATTAACGTACAGAGCAGTTTCAGGGCTATCATCCCTCAATTAACGTACAGAGCAGTTTCAGGGCTATCATCCCTCAATTAACGTACAGAGCAGTTTCAGGGCTATCATCCCTCAATTAACGTACAGAGCAGTTTCAGGGCTATCATCCCTCAATTAACGTACAGAGCAGTTTCAGGGCTATCATCCCTCAATTAACGTACAGAGCAGTTTCAGGGCTATCATCCCTCAATTAACGTACAGAGCAGTTTCAGGGCTATCATCCCTCAATTAACGTACAGAGCAGTTTCAGGGCTATCATCCCTCAATTAACGTACAGAGCAGTTTCAGGGCTATCATCCCTCAATTAACGTACAGAGCAGTTTCAGGGCTATCATCCCTCAATTAACGTACAGAGCAGTTTCAGGGCTATCATCCCTCAATTAACGTACAGAGCAGTTTCAGGGCTATCATCCCTCAATTAACGTACAGAGCAGTTTCAGGGCTATCATCCCTCAATTAACGTACAGAGCAGTTTCAGGGCTATCATCCCTCAATTAACGTACAGAGCAGTTTCAGGGCTATCATCCCTCAATTAACGTACAGAGCAGTTTCAGGGCTATCATCCCTCAATTAACGTACAGAGCAGTTTCAGGGCTATCATCCCTCAATTAACGTACAGAGCAGTTTCAGGGCTATCATCCCTCAATTAACGTACAGAGCAGTTTCAGGGCTATCATCCCTCAATTAACGTACAGAGCAGTTTCAGGGCTATCATCCCTCAATTAACGTACAGAGCAGTTTCAGGGCTATCATCCCTCAATTAACGTACAGAGCAGTTTCAGGGCTGTCATCCCTCAATCAATGTACAGAGCAGTTTCGGGGTTGTCATCCCTCACTTAATGTACAGAGCAGTTTTGACAAACTATTAGAATCCCTAAATAGTGCACCTACCAGTGCTGGAACTGCATCATAGCAGGTGAGTCTTTCATCTTGCAAGATACTTACTGTGTAATGCCAGTAAGCAGTGCATGTATGTTTGCTCTATCCGTCGTACATTATCCAACCAGTTTTTTTCCCACATATGAGGCATACTGCAGTAAAGGTTTCTACTGTCATTTCACTGTCTGTCTCTGTTAGTATGTCCTGGGAGAATGGGAAGAGCGGCACTGATTATGACCATCCTGCAAGGCAGTGGGCAAGTGTGAAGTATTGAGGTTGTCTGGAAGAACCTGGCTATTATAATACCAATACTGTCTATCTACATAATAGTTTTTTTCAGACAGCAATAGAGTTTGTCAAATGATTCTGCATAAAACAAATGGGTATACAATATAATTCAGGCATCTGAATATGAGATTCCTGTGTCAGTATGCTGCCATGATAATTAATAAAATGTCACAATATAAAGTTGTATTTCTTTTACAGAGGAGGTAGGATTGCCAGGGAGACCTCTTTCCTATAGGACCTCATCTCACAGCAAAGAAATGGTATCATAAAATAATGACTTCTCAGTGAAAGATCTTTCTCAAATTCAAATAGTAATTCATAATATTCTTAATAATAACCACTTACTCATGTCTTTCTTATGTAGATATGACCTCCCGAATGCTTTTTAAACAAGGTCACCCTGACTGACAGGTACAATATAAATGTTAAAAGAAGTATGCACTTATTGACCTTTTTCATTCAGGAAGATAAATGCCTACAAGTTTTTTTTCCCCGATAACTGGTAGTGTATGTTCTGTTTCAAATGTTGAAATATGCAATGACATACCTCCTTAGATTACAGTATGTACAGACAGTATAGTCACTTGCTTAACTCTTCAATAAGAAACAGAAGTTGGTTCCAACTTAGTTTTACATCAGATAAGTGCAATACAAAGAATGCTTTTCCAGTCTTTGAAATGTAAGAAGACAGTTACTTTTCTTAAGCTCTGTCTCTGCGATGAAAATTAAACCATAAGCTAGGGACTGTACTAACTAGCACCAAAACAGGAGGGGGAACAGGGAGACATACCAATGGCACAAATAAATAGGCTGCTGTGGCAGCACAATCAACACTTGGCATAAGTAGATACCATTATTCAATAATATAATGTGATACATTGCAACAACAATATAATTATGTGGGGCACAACAGTACAGAAGGAAGTGCTCAATGGAATGGAATAGATCAATAAGTTGATATCATAAAGACAAATATCTGTTTGAAAAATATGTTTCCTAATGAAGAGCACAGAAAATGACTCTACATGTGCTGCATCAAGCCTGTGTATGGTTGTCAGTGGCCTAGAACAGTGCTTCTTAATGGGGTACAGCCAGTACTTGTGTGAGGGGGAGGGAGAGGCTGGAGAGAGATTTTTTTATTTTCGTTTAATGTTTATAATGTTTAATGTGTAGTGTAGTTGTTAAGAGTGGGCCCCCCCTGTGCACTTGGTACCTTCCTGAGCACGTGCACGCAGGAAGGATTTTTTTTTTCACTGACCGACGCTAGGGGGGGGAGAGGAGGAGAGAGACACCGACCGACGCTAGGGGGGGGGGAGAGGAGGAGAGAGACACTGACCGACGCAAGGGGGGAGGGAAGAGGAGAGAGACACAGATGCTAGGGGAGGGGGAGGAGACACCGACCGACGCTGGGAGGAAAGAAGGGAGAGACACCGTCCGACACTTGGGTCACGTAAAAATTTCCTCGGCCAGAAAGGTTCACAAGTGGAGAAAGTTTAAGAAGGCCTGGCCTAGAAGACATTTACATTTCAGTAATCATCTGTATTGTTAGTGAATGTGATTGCAGACGATACTGCTCTTTGCTGGTTATTTGAATTATTAAACATGGACTAGGTTCCCACCCTTTCTGTCTTCTCACTTCCCCTCTTCTTTCCTTCCCTATGGCCTTTTTTCAATCATTACGTTTATTGTGATAGCATTGCAATTTTATACAGATATTATGTTTTTTTCAAAAAATGTAAAAAGGCTAATAATATGCTTTAAAGACTGCAAAGGCAAGCCCCTTTCAGAACCCCAGGAAAACGCGTCACCCTTCGCATTCACAGCTGATGTCGGCGTCTGTGTAGCTCTGACTGAGCAGTGCGTTAATATGTATGTTTACAAATCATCATTACATCCCTGGAGTCTTATTGACAAGTGTTAAATACCGCTACATTTGTGAGTAGCCCTTTTGTTCTAAGCTATTATTAAATATTAATCAGTACCGCGCAGGGTGGCCACTCTGTTTTGTGTTTTTGTTGTATGTATGGACGAGAGCTTTCCGATCTGAGGAGGAGCAGCACCCCTGGGGCCAGTCTAATTGAAGATTGAGATGGTTGCTGGCTGTCAGCGCCAGAGGAACATTTCTTTTGCTATTATTTCTATTTGGATGTATACACTTTTGCTTGGCCCTTGAACGTTGGAATGTAGACATGTGGAAACTACCATTGCTGACTTGTCAACCATAAACTGCCTTCACTATCTAGTGTGTCATTGACCTGTAACAAGCAGGCAGGACTTCACTGTCTGCATACTTGCTCTAAGTCAGAGACTAGGTAGGTAGCAAATAGCTCCACAGCCTACACCTTTAAATGTTAATGAGCAGTGGCAGCACCCATATTTGTATCCTTACAGGTTCATTATAAGTTTTGTAAAACAGCCTCTAAAACAAGTTTTTCTGGCAAGGCGAGAAGTTATTTTCCCTTTTAGTGTGCTGTTTGTGTCATTTATTACAGTAGCTTTAGGAAGTGACTTCCTTGTCACAACTGCTTGGATGTGGTCAGATCTAGCTTAAAGCGAGTTGTCTTGACTGGACCCCCAGCAATAACTCGTGTATACGAGGGATTCTGAAATGGAACCAGAAGTCCTTCTGTCTCAAAGCAAAGCTAATAACTGGGATATCAATGACATGAAACTGCCACGGGTATGGTATATTATCATGCTTAAAATGTGAATTGTTTTCTTTGATCAGTTTCGGAATATGTCAGGCAACGGCAATCAGTTGGGCTTGAACAGTATCCAGTAAATGGGAGATTGCTATATGTTGCTTTCTAATTTAGCTTACTACATGCAGTACTGTCTTAACCATCTGATAGTGTACAAAGTATATACACTTTTAAGGCTATATTTTTACAATGTATGTATGCTTTTGTGTTAGTCGTTTCCAATGCTGGTCACAGGAACAAGGCTGCATCTGTAAATGGGACACAATGATTTGTTCCCCCAGTCTCATTAGGGCAGGGGGACCATCAACAGAACTGGAAAAACTATGCTTAGGCTTTAACGTACTGACTACGGAACTGACTTATAAAGCTATATCCTGCTACTGGGTTTCTACCAGAATTAAAAAGTTAAATCCAGCCTACATCAATAGGTGCTTCATAGGGAAGGCATGTACCACAAATAGTGATTCTGTCCTAAATCGATCTCTTTTTGGTCCAGAATCTTTGGACTGCTCTCTCCTTGCTTCCACATAACAGTCCTAAAGAATCCATGGCTAGCCTTAAGTAGGGTATACACGGGTAGCTTTTCAAAGGAAAGTTTGTCTGGAAAAACCCCATCAGAATGTTCGATAATGCCATCAGGGACTTGGCAATTGTTGGAAATGTCATTTGATTATCATTTTCATTTAATTAAGTTTGGAATGAATGGAGTTTTCCCGAAGGAAATGTATAGCAATTCAGAGAGCGGGCACATCTGGAGGCAGCCCTTTCCTCCTTAAAGGTACAGCAACACGACAGAAGCCCAGACATCGCCTTTACAAGGCAGCTGAAGACTTTCAGCGTGTGTCTGCACCAAACGGACCAATGGAAATGTAATGTACAGTAAAGAAGAAGTAGGTTAGACTGAATGTTTTCTGGGATTTCCATTTCTTATTCAGAAAAAAATGTAATTTTCTCAGTGGTCAAGCTAAATTATACGTGAAGCACGTGTTATTTCTCTTATTCATATTTTCTTTTAAGACAAAACAAATTCCTGATTCAAAAAATCGGAAAAACTGAAATTTAAAAAAAGTAAATATTTATCCTTTTTCTATAAAAAAAAAAAAAGCCTTAAAAGCTCCTGTCTGTATTATAACTCTGAATGCTGCCTGTCTTAAGCTTCTGTTACAAATCTCCCTGAATTCACCTGCCCAGACCTTTTTCTGGTCTGACAGTTTGGTATTTTGCTATTGTGGTCTGTCACCATACTCCACGGTCAGTATGGTAAACCCAAGAACTGCAACCTGGAAGTATCACCAATGATACCTAAACCTCATTAACAGAGGTACCTGATAAAGACTGAGCACTTTCTAGTTTTCAGGCCTACAAATGGTGGCACAAAGGATTAATACTATACCATGATAGTTGGTCAGGCCCTAGAGTCCCCAGTAACTCAGGCCTAAATATGATGACAGGTAGCAGGTCCCATTACCCCTTCCCCAGGGAGTACCCCAAGGGAAATTATATTTTTCTGTGCCACTCCTCTCTCAGGTTTTGATCATTGTCTGTAAAACTTATCGTCAGCCCCCCTATGACTAGGTATGGGGGCGTTGTCAAATAATGTTCAGTTGCATTTGCATAGGGAAATATTCTGACACATGTAAAAGTACAAGTAAAGTGGGAAAATACACAGATACACTATATTGCCAAAAGTATTGGGACGCCTGCCTTTAGACACAAAAAACTTTAATGGCATCCCAGTATTAGTCCGTAGCATTCAATATTGAGTTGGCCCACCCTTTGCAGCTTGTCAGGGTTGTGCCCGGTCGGTGCACCTTGCTGGATTGTGACACAGCTATAACAGCTTCAACTCTTCTGGGAAGGCCTTCCACAAGGTTTAGCAGTGTGTCTATGGGAATGTTTGACCATTCTTCCAGAAGCGCATTTGTGAGGTCAGGTACTGATGTTGAACGAGAAGGCCTGGCTCGCAGTCTTCGCTCTAATTCATCCCAAAGGTGTTCTATCTGTTTGAGGTCAGGACTGTGTGCAGGCCAGTCAAGTTCCTCCACCCCAAACTCGCTCATCCATGTCTTTATGGACTTTGCTTTGTACACTGGTGCGCAGTCATGTTGGAACAGGAAGGGGCCATCCCCAAACTGTTTCCACAAAGTTGGGAACATGAAATTGTCCAAAATGTCTTGGTATGCTGATGCCTTAAGAGTTCCCTTCACTGGAAATAAGGGGCCAAGCCCAACCCCTGACAAGAAACCGCACACCATAATCCCCCCCTACACCAAATTTTACATTTTGCACAATGCAGTCAGGGAAGTACTGCCCTCCTGGCAACCGCCAAACCCAGACATGCCCATTGGATTGCCAGACAGAGTCCAGTGGCGGTGTGCTTTACACCACTGCATCCGACGCTTTGCATTGCACTTGGTGATGTAAGGCTTGGATGCAGCTGCTCAGCCATGGAAACCCATTCCATGAAGCTCTCTACGCACTGTTGTTGTGCCAATATGAGGGCCACACGAAGTTTGGAGGTCTGTAGCTATTGACTCTGCAGACAGTTGGCGCTTCAGCATGCGCTTATCCCGCTCTGTCATTTTACATGGCCTACCACTTCATGGCTGAGTTGCTGTTGTTCCCAGTTGCTTCCAGGTTGTTATAATAACACAAACAGCAAGGACATTTCACGGATGGGCTTTTTGCACAGGTGGCAACCTATCACGGTACTACTCTTGAATTCACTGAGCTCCTGAGAGCGACCCATTCTTTCACAAATGTTTGTAGAAGCAGTCTGCATGCCTAGGTGGTTGATTCTATACACCTTGGAGGTAATTGGAAGACCTGAATCCAATCATTTGGAGGGGTGTCCCAATACTTTTGGCAATATAGTGTAAGGCAGTACAGGGAAGATGGAGATCAGACCATTGCATGTCTCCTAATCCCAATGCCAGCAAGCATATCTAGAGTTCATTATAAGTGAGGAAAAATTGAGATGGCACAGGAAAAACAGTGTTGTTGGGTTTTTTTTAGATTTAAGTAGAGTGTGGATGGATAAGAACACCTCTCAGGTTTTACTGCTCCGTTGGAAAGAATTAGCATCACTTCCTGTCCAACTGAAATTGGTTTCCCCAGATCGGAAATGAGGCAAAATCAGCGACAGGGAAATGAAAATCTGACCAGGGGTTTAGCCTTCCCCATTCTACTAAAGAAAAGCATTTTTTCAGATGGTGGTAAAAACCTGACAGGGATTCCCCACTCCTCCTAAAACTAAGAAAATAAGTTTGGGCCACACATACACTTTAGACCCAGAAAGATCTCCTTTTCCAGATGCTGCATGGTGCATAATAATATCTGTACAGCAATAATATATACTATATATTGCTAAATTGTACACATACGGGCTATATAGGGATATGAACACCTTTGTCCTAGTAGTACAGACATGTTCATTACTATTAGCAAGTCATTTTCAAGAACTATTAAAAGTGAAAGATTTTTTAGTGGAATTATTCTCTGTTCTGTAACAAGGCCATCATGTAACACTAGCCGTATACTTTTCTATCTCAAGATAACTGTAAAATACAGTGAGAGGATGAAGGTCTTGCTGAGGAGGTATGAAATATTTGCAACCTTGGAAAAAGGGGTGCAAAGAGAGAGCGGGGGGAGGGGGGTCACTGCTCTGATGTATTCATTAATGTGGGTCAATTCCAGCTTGAGCTATTGAGCCTTGTAAATAACAGGGGTACAGATGTATCCCTGAAAACCTGAAAAAGACCCTAAACCCATTGATTTAAACTGATACTACAAATTAATAATAATATGCAATATTTAATATGTATCCGACTACAAAAATCACATTTTTGTACATTTATTTTCCTGAGCTCTGTGTTTTAGTACCTGGCACCCACTGCTACTCTATACAGTGTTTACCTCCGGCGTGATGAGAGAACGCTGCATGCAGGGCCTTCTCATTGTAGGGGGCAGTTTACAGCACTCAGCAGATCAGCTGGCAAGATACGTAGTTTGGGGAGCGCTTTATTAACTCAGCACTAGAAAGGCAATTAATTAAAGAAAATGTTCATCAGAGGGGGGTTTTCCGGGAAAGTCAGGTACTTTTAATTCATGCTGTTTAGACGGGGTTATCATTTATGGTGGAAAGAACTTATAAAATTGCAGCAGAAAAGGACAGAGACAGTCTATTGGAGGATAATGCATGGGAAAGAGACACTTTACTTGGAAAACCTGTTCCTGTGGGTTCAACCTAGAGTTCACTAAGATTATAAATACTGTCAATGTTTGCCTATTCTCTTTAATGGCTCTATACAATATATGAGTATATTAGCTACTTTTCTTTCTTCAACACTGTAAGGGCTGATTCACGTGTGCAAGCGTATTTTCATACACTGTAAAATAAGCCTGTATTTGAGGCACCTGGGAGCCACAGTTGCTATGTTTTTCTATCCATATGAATGTATGCACAGAAAACTCTGTACCCGGATGTACGTCTGTAAGTGCTGGTACCAGCAGTTTCAGGGGCACGGGGTGAGAGTTTTGTTTGTAAATTCTTTTTTTTATAAAACAGGTTACAATCGGTTTAGGCCAGTGCTAAAGGCAAGCATTGCACAGTAGAACAACAATATACAGCATGAAATAGTCATACCCTTTCTGGAACGTATTTGATGTCTGTAATGTTCTACTACAGTATCAGTCCGTTAGCCAGGGTTCCCCAATCCCCGGGCCACAGACTGGTCCGTGGCCTGTAAGGAACTGGGCCGAAGCTGCTGGCAGTCTCCTCGGCAGTCCCGCTCCCCAATGGGCAAAGTGGGCAACTGTCCAGGGCCCACTGTGACACCTAGGGCCCACATCCACAGCTTTTACTCAGCTCGGCTTCCGCTCTGTCAGCCAAATTGTAAAGATGATTCTGCCGCTGCACTGTGGATGGGCGGAGTGATCTGGCAGGAGGCAGAGGCGGCTCAGGCACGCACAGTGCCTT